TTACATGTATGATACTCAATATAGTTGGAATAATCACATTAATAGTTGCATTGACAGTTATCTTCATTCTCAAATCTGTATTGATACTTACATTTTAAGTGATAGTGACAATTACAGTGATAGTGACAGTTACATTTATAGTTCCATTTGTGGTGAAAGTAGAAATAGTAGTAAAAGCGATAGTTCCGGTATAAAAACCAGCATGAATGGTAGTGATTTAACTATAAGAGAAAGTTCTAATGATCTCGATGTAACTCAAAAATACAAGCATTTGTGGGTTCAATGCGAAAATTGTTATGGATTAAATTATAAGAAATTTTTGAAGTCAAAAATGAATATTTGTGAACAATGTGGATATCATTTGAAAATGAGTAGTTCAGATAGAATCGAACTTTCGATTGATCCGGGCACTTGGGATCCTCTGGATGAAGACATGGTCTCTCTGGATCCCATTGAATTTCATTCGGATGAGGAGCCTTATAAAGATCGTATCGATTCTTATCAAATAAAAACAGGGTTAACTGAGGCTGTTCAAACAGGCATCGGCCAACTAAACGGTATTCCCATAGCAATTGGGGTTATGGATTTTCAGTTTATGGGGGGTAGTATGGGATCCGTAGTTGGGGAGAAAATTACCCGTTTGGTCGAGTATGCTACCAATAAATTTCTACCTCTTATTATAGTATGTGCTTCGGGAGGGGCACGCATGCAAGAAGGAAGTTTGAGCTTGATGCAAATGGCTAAAATTTCTTCTGCTTTATATGATTATCAATCAAATAAAAAGTTATTTTATGTATCAATCCTTACATCGCCTACTACTGGTGGGGTGACAGCCAGTTTTGGTATGTTGGGGGATATCATTATTGCCGAACCCAATGCCTACATTGCATTTGCGGGTAAAAGAGTAATTGAACAAACATTGCATAAAACAGTACCCGAAGGTTCACAAGCGGCCGAATATTTATTCCAGAAGGGCTTATTCGATTTAATCGTACCGCGTAATCCTTTAAAGGGCGTTCTGAGTGAATTATTTCAGCTCCACGCTTTCTTTCCTTTAAATCAAAATTCAAGCAAGTAGAGCACATTAAGTTCAATTATTTTATTTGTAGCAAACAAGTAGTTAGTTTATCGAAATCAAAGTCAAAATCAGAAGAATAGAGTTTTCTTTGATGACATAAGATCTAATTGTAGAAAAAATCAAAAATTGTGGAAAATTCTTTTTTTTACCTATATTACTGACTAGTAATCAGGAAGCCTCTAGCAACAAGATAAAAAAACGAATTTCATTTTCCTTTCTTACGTCTGTATATAATTCAAATATAGAAAATATAGATTTTTGTATCTTTCTATATCTCCCGAGAATCCCCATTTTTTACTAAGAATCCCCGTTAGGTCGGATTCTAACGAATCTTTCGGTAATTTGTAAGAAACTCTTTTTTTATTAAATTTAAAGACAAGAAGAAAAGAAGAAGACTAATAAAATCGATTATCATACATATATTTTATGTAGAAAGTAGAAAGATGAATAAGTCCATTTAGTTAGTTCTACATTCCTTGCGCTTATTATATATACTCACTTAGATATATACTAATTAGAATTATAATTATTATAAGATATCTTTAATAGTAAATCGAGGTACCCATTCTATGGCAACTTTTGACTTTTCCTCTATTTTGGTGCCTGTAGTAGGCATAGTATTTCCGGCAATTGCAATGGCTTCTTTATCTCTTCATGTTCAAAACAACAAGATTGTTTAGACCCGATGGGACTAAATTGCATCCATTTTTTTTTTCAAAACTTAGACTTGTATCATAACATTGATATTTATTGAGTGGAATATGGTATAACATGCGGCTTCCGCCGAACATAAATGAAATAGCTCTTATGCATGCAGAAACACGATATATGGGTAAATGAATTCTAGCTATTTTCAAATAGATCGGGATCGGCGGATATCTGAAATGGAAAGTCAATCTATCTATATGTGTGTTAATATCTCGAGTAGAATCATATGAAGGGGATGTTATTTTTTTATATCTAACCAATTTGATGAATTACTCCTAAAGGTTTACATCAAAATAGTGCTAGTTGATGAGAGTTATTTCGGAAACAAAAAGAGTAAAGTCAAATTCATTTGGGTTATTCTCTCAATTCCAATAAAATACAACCGGATCAAGTATGAGTTGGCGATCAGAACGTATATGGATAGAACTTATAACGGGGTCTCGAAAAACAGGTAATTTCTGCTGGGCCTTTATCCTTTTTTTAGGTTCATTAGGATTCTTATTGGTTGGAATTTCCAGTTATCTTGGTAGAAATTTGATATCTTTATTTCCGTCTCAGCAAATCATTTTTTTTCCACAAGGGCTCGTGATGTCTTTTTATGGGATTGCGGGTCTCTTTATTAGCTCCTATTTGTGGTCCACAATTTCGTGGAATGTAGGTAGTGGTTATGATCGATTTGATATAAAAGAAGGAATAGTATGTATTTTTCGTTGGGGATTTCCTGGAAAAAATCGCCGCATCTTCCTCCGATTCCTTATAAAAGATATTCAGTCCGTCAGAATAGAAGTTAAAGAGGGTATTTATGCTCGTCGTGTCCTTTATATGGAAATCAGAGGTCAGGGGGCTATTCCCTTGACTCGTACTGATGAGAATTTGACTCCACGAGAAATTGAACAAAAAGCTGCTGAATTGGCTTATTTCCTGCGTGTACCGATTGAAGTCTTTTGAGAAATGAAAACGGAAGAATAAGAATGAATGCTTTCTCGGCAGGAGGGAAAAACTCAAGAATTCGCTCTATAACATAACTTAACTGAAGTTTCTTCAGAACGCTCATTCGAGCCAAATCAAACGTATACGGAACAACCATAAAACAAACTTTTTTGTCCACAAATCTTTCGTTATATGAATTAGATAAGGCAACCGAGACTACTTGCCTGCAGCGAGACTTCCTTGCTTACCCTGTGTCCCCGTAAAACTCGGTGCGAAATCTGTCTGGTTCCTCTGCTCTATGGATGAAGGTCTATTTCATTGAACCTTACGCTCGCTCTCAGTGAACAATCTCTTTTGAAGTGCATTTTTGGTCAAATGGAGCAAATAGGTTTTTTTACCCAATATCCATATGCCGTGCTACCCAACTTACTCAGTGGAGTCAACCTGTTAGTCAATTTCAAAGAAATCCAAGGCTTTCTTGGGTGATAGATTGAAGCAGGTAGTGAATGAGCTAAGCCAGACCGCTATTACTGAATCCCTCCGCTAGATGTCAGTTGCGGTTGGTTTAAGCCTTTCTTTCTATATCGAAGACGGGGTTGAAACCAAGGTAAGCTTCGGCTGCTGGGGGACTTCCTCTACATGGACCGTTTGCAATTGTTGTGTGCGCTTGTACGCCCCATGACGGGGATATATTGTTAGTGTTTAGGGAGCTTTAGCTATAGGTCACCGCTCTTGCCTGATGAGGACTTGGTTCCTCGCCATGATGGCATGAACATTGTTGGATCTCGTTGGGTGTTTAAAACCAAACTAAAGTCAGATGGTTCCATTGAGCGCTTTAAAGCACGGTTAGTTGCCAAAGGATACAACAACCAGTTGGAAGGTATTGATTTGACTTAAACCTTGAGTCCTGTTATTAAACCTACCACAATTCCATAATTGCTGCACTTCCCGAGAAAGAAGTCGTCTTGGTATTGGATCCGCTCTTCTGTTAGCA